GGTTGGTCCCTCACCTACCAAACTCCCCCGGGCGGGGGGGTGACCGGAGTTTTTGTGGGGGGTGTAGCACTCCCTTTGTCGGGTGGCCAAGGTTGAGAAACCCTGTTCTAGATGCTGCACTGAACAGCAAATAGTTGTGCTGCTACCTTTGTGAGTGTCAAGCGCCAGGCGGGCTAAGCTGTTTGGTGCTTTCTTGCAGTCATTGTTTCAACAGCTGGGAGCAGTGAGCCTCTTCTGTGTTCATTCCCGTTGAAGGGTCCCGGCCTTTTGGTCGGCCGCGTTCGGCGCATTTGAGACGTTCAGCTGTCGAAGCTCGGCGGCCTTCTCCCTCCTGACCGACTTTCTCGCGCGTGGTGCCAAGTCTCCCCTTGCTTTGGGGGGATTGCGATAGCCGAAAAGCAGCTGCTCTGCGCATCTCCGCATGAACTTCCTCACGACATCGGGGGAGCGCGTTCAAATAGTTTGCCCATTTTTGGCTTTGGTCATTGTTTGTCTTGTACTGTTCTCTCTTCGGTGCTGAAGGGCAGAGTGAGTTTAGAATGGGTTTTTGTTGGCAATAGTGGAGCAGAAAGGGGACATTGTTCCTGGACAGCCTTATATAAATAGAGGAAGTGGATAAAATAGCTGTCCTAGGGAATTTTTAAGAAGGGTTACCGCTTTGCTTCCCACAGCCTTCCTCAAAGGCCAGCCTAAGCCACAAGTTGTGTCACCTTAATCGTGGAGTAAAGGATCCCATTTTTCATGGTCATGTTGCCGATCTACTGTTGCTGCAGCGTGGTTCTCCCTCTGTGACTGATTGCTGCTAGTTGCATAAGCGATTCCTGTAGGAATTAGCAGCTGAGCGTTCTCTGCAGGAAGCCTAGAGGGACCTGGTGTAACAAGGCCGCTCTCTGTGATGGGATCAGCCATTTAGGAGGTGATGGCTGCTGCTTGGGCTCTGGGAAGAGCATTTTGCATGAATGTTCCATACAGGTTTTGCCTTCGGAACTCCTGACACAGTGTTTCTCAACCGTGGCAACTTGAAGAGGTGCAGACTTCATAGCATAGGCTGGCTGGGGAATTCTGGGAGTTGAAGTCCACACCTCTTCAAGCTGCCAAGGTAGAGAAACACTGTTCTAACATAAAATGTTGGCTGCCACAAAGAAATTGGATGCAGGTCATCACCAGTCTTAACAACAAAGAGCTATATCAGATCATTAACTAATTAATTAATTAATTAAATCTGTATGCTGCCCATCTCCCCCAGAAGATCTTGGGTGCTTGTATATTCCTTTCATTTTTTCACTGAATGTGGCAGAATACAGTGGTGTTCTAAGCACACTCTCCACTTGGCTGCAGGTTCCTAGAAAGATCCATGCCAGCACCGAGCAAAGGTTGATCTAGATCAGGAAGCTGTTCCCATAGGCTCAGCCAAATGCCAGCAGGAAACTAATAAGCCCATTAGCACCTTCCCACTCATACTAGAGTGAATATATAGCCTTTGTGATTACAGTCAGCTGTGTTAGCAGAATGACATTTCTCCATGAATTAAAGGCGGAAGAATGAGAAGTCACATATCAGCTACTAGGAGAGAAACTTCCAGATGGTGAGACTTCCTACCATGGGTATCATTGCAAAGAAAGGCATGGAATTTCTATGGGAGTGCATTCTGGAAAATAGGCCAGCAAGAGAGAGACACTATGGAATAAATTCCCAATATCAGTATGGGATATTCCCTGATGCTAATTGCACATCTGGAAAAATATTTGGATTTCCTAAAGGTCGCTTAAACTCATGTGCTTTTTTCAACCCACAGTTGGTGACAAAGTTCCTGCTGACATAAGAATTACTTCCATAAAATCCACAACTCTACGAGTAGACCAGTCGATTCTCACGGGTAGGTGGTTCTTAAGAGAAAAGCAGTGATTCATGGGACCAGTTGGAAACATCTCTCCTTGGTGGCAAAGTACCAATGCAGTGGTCATGATGAAGATGACTCGTCTATATTGCACTGGGTGCATGTTTTTTCCCCCTAGTGGAAAGCATTTCAGTTGATTCAGAACAGAAAAGTGCGTCATCTCTGGTTTATTTAAAAGTTGGATTGAATGTGTTCTGTCAGCTTTAGTCTTGGAATGATCTATTTGTATCTGGCTTATTTCCTTTATTTGATTGCCAAAATGGCTTGTAAAAAGAAAAAAGTATAATAAATAAATTATATTAGAATGGTGAGGGGGGTAAGAAATGAATGGGATTGTTTCTGTTTTTGCGTCCAAGTTGGTTTGGTTTGCTACATGGCAAGATCTCCAAAGTGCAAAGAGAATTCGCACTTCAGGGGTAAAGCATTTGATTTATATGGCAGAGGACATATAAAGTCCGCCCAGGCCCTAAGCCTGGGAAACTCTACTGACAATCTTGAGAATGCAAAGCATCTCCAAGTAAAGGAGCTGCCCGTTAGGGATACCTTGTGGCATCTCAAATAACCTCTCTGTGCCAGCTGCCTCGGCAAATGCAAAACGCAAGGAGCTGGTTCTGTGAGGCTCCCTATCACATCACTGATGCGGTGACCTTTTTCTAGGTGAATCTGTCTCGGTGATTAAACACACGGACCCTGTGCCTGATCCTCGGGCAGTAAACCAAGACAAGAAGAATATGCTCTTTTCTGTGAGTAAATCTTGACCCATGTGCTTTTGTGGGTTTTTTAGTGCTTGCTTTGTGCTTCATGAAAAATATTAGCTTCCCCTTATTCTGTTTAGAGTCACCTGCTGAAAATATTGTATTTGTCCTGATCATTTAAATCAGTATTTTTCAAACATGGTCACTTTAAGATGTGTGATCTTCAACTCCCGGAATTCCACAGCCAGCCAGGCTGGCTGGGAAATTCTGGGAGTTGAAGTCCACACATCTTAAAGTGGCCATGTTTGAAAAACTCTGCTTTAAGTTATTATCTTGAACTGAGCCTTAAAAACTCAGGATGAATATCAGCATAGGCTGGGTCAAGTTGTTTTCAGATAGACTCATAGATGTAAAGATTATCAACAGTAAAATGAAAAGGGAATCTCTTGGAAAATCTAGCTGTGGATTCCTTTTGGGGTGACAGAGTTTTAAAGGGCTCTGTTGGTGCAGAGAACAAGAGGCTTCTGGTGTTGAAGTGGGAACTTCCACATCACCGACCAATTAGTACTCAGAGTTTCATAACTAGAGTCCTAGCTATTTAGTTGATTTATTATCTTGGCTGCTGTTTCTGTGTCTGGCAAAACGGCTGAGAATTGCCCCCCCCCCTTCTTCTCTTGCCTCTATTCTGAGGCAGTCACCACAATTAAATTTATGTCCTCTTCTGCACTTGGGCAAGTTTAAGATGCTGCTCCTTGAGAATGTGGAACGAGCCCTCAGAAGTGTGTGTTACAATATGTACGCCAGCGAAGTCTTGCCAAATGTTGGCTGGATTGTGCCAGGTTACAGAAACTGGTTAGGTTGGTCTGAATGGAGAAGGGCGTTGTGTATTACCATTGCTATTTTTATAAAAAAAAATTGAATAGTGCTGTGACCTGCACGCTCAGGTCATCCTGTGGGACTCAAGTTCACTATTGCAAGACGATCTCATTGTGGAATTGCAAAGCTTTCAATAGCTGTTAAGACCTTTACAAGTAGGCATCTAGGCTCTGCTCTCCTGGTCAGCTCTTGATCATGATGCTTGTAGGTTGATTTCCTTTGCATGCCTAATTGATGCTGTTGTTGGTGCTTATAATTTATTTCCATAGACTAGTGTTTGTCAATCTTGGCAACTTTAAGACATATGGACTTCAACTCCCAGAATTCTCCAGCCAGCATGCTGGCT